TGCGCGATTCTCGGCTGACTTCCTTGAATAAGACGCCCTTCAGTTTTTAGGGTAAGGATTTGAGAAAAAAGTATCGTCTTATAGTCAGAAAAATACAGTACTTACTCTTCATTGATATTTTTCAGAATAAGTTACTTAATTGAAACATATTGGAGAAAATTATTTTCTTAAATCCTGTTCCTGCATTTATAGCAGCATAATATTTAACATGGAATATTATCAGTTCATATTATGTTATTATCTACAGTTTTATTTCTTTTCTTTTATACAATTTAATAGATTCAATGGGTTCTTCACAGGTTCTGCAACACCATTGCAGCCACAGATGGTGGTGTACGCTTGCTATATGCCTCTTTATGTACCTGAAAAAAAGATTTTTATATTAGAGAAAATGGTAAGGATTTATATACTTTGCTTTTTAAGTATTAATGAATAGCAATAAATATAATAAACATATCAGTTCATTCCAGAAGAAATATAATTTTCTTGAAAAATACTTCTTTACAGATATTTCTGCTTATATCTGACTCAGATTCTCAAAAAAAAAAAAAAAAAAACCCTAAGCAAACTAACTCAAAGCATTTTGAATAAATATATATTTATTTTGCAAGCATTGTACAGAGGTTTATGAATATCTGAAAGCTCATTATTTATACTGTAGTATTTTATTTTTTGAAAAGCCCATCTATCAGTGTTAGAGACATTCTATGTGGGGACATGCCAGTTCAGAATACTGTATAATTAAGGACAATCCAGAAGTAAATGAAATTATAATTACCAGGTTGAACAGTCACATTTGCTGACCAACTTTGAGAGGAATTCTCAACCCAAAATAAACTATTTTGCTCCAAATGTGGGCACTGATCTGGGCATTATTTCTGGTATTTTCCATACCTCTCAAGCCTGTTTTATTTCCTTGAAAAATACCTTGCCAGTGTTAGACAAAAAGGACCTTTGCTGTTCTCTGGGGCTTATGGAAACCTTCACAGACAAGCTGTTTCTAATCACGGACATAGTAATATTAATAAGTTGTAACCTTGTTTCAGATTTAAATCTTAGCATAAGTTTTTACTCCTTCCACAGAACAATGCATAGGTTCAATATCTTGATATCTAACAAAATATTATAACTGGGTCAACATTAAAATATTTCCTGTGTATATATTTTGCATTCTGCATATAACCAAGCTGTTTTTATTATATTACAGGCTGATTCTTCTGAAAAGTTACGACAATATGGTCTTTCCCACATCTATAGCCATCCTGTACTGATAACTAGAACAAGGTCGGGTCCCTTGGTGGCCCCACCAAAACCACCATCTGTACCTCGGTGGAAACTTATCCGCCAGAAAAAGGAAACAATTGTAACAGATGAACCCCAAGGTTTGTCATTTCAGCTTTTGTATTTTATTTCTAATTAAGAATAACTCTAGATATATAATATTTGTCTTTTTCTCATGGGTTTCACATAGATTTCCTTTTGAGAATCAAAATGGTTATCTGTGAAAATGAAAAATGTATTTTACTTACTGCATTAAGGATTTAATACTGATTTAGAAACCATTCTATATTTTTCATTTAATGCTTTTTGTCCTAGAACATAGGATATTTTGTTTTTCAGTATAAGTTGAGCTTAATGTAATGTAAATATATTTTTAAAAAACAATCAAAAGAGTGAATGGCCAGGATTAACATATTTAAATGACCAGGACTGCTTCTTCTGCAAAACTTGCCTACCTATTGAAATCTTCTTTAGAGGTACTTTTGCCCCAGTGTACAAGGAAGGGATAGGTACCTGTTTGCCTGTGCACACTTTCTTTAGTACCCACCAAGCTCTGAACAGAGCCAAGTTTGAAGAGCATTTCAGAACACCAGGAGAGTGAGTGCCATTCATATCTATGGGGGGATGTTGTTCTAGAGAGCTTCCTAAGTCCCACAAGATGGCAGCATTTAATAGAAGGCACCTGGAGCACACACACAACATATCAGGGAGGCATAGATAATTGGAGATAAGCAGTCCCTCAGATAACCAAATGCTATGCCAAGAAGGACTTTAAAGGTGACAGTTAGAACCTTGAATTACATATGGAAGCCTACTGGCAACCAAAACAGCTTGTGTAACAGTGGTGATACATGGGCATACTGTGAAGTGCCCATTACGGCTTGCACCATTGCCTTTTGTACCAGTAGCTGTAGCTTCTGGATGGTCTTCAGCAGTAGTCACATGTACAGCACATTGCAGTAGTGCAGTTGTGAGGTGACCATGGTGTGAGTGACCACCTGAAGGGCCTCCCAGTTGAGAAAAGGGCACAACTAGTGCACAAGATGAACCTGTGCAAATTCCCTCCTAGCCACAACTGTCACATGTTCTTTGAGCAGGAGCTGCAAGTCCATGAGGACCCCCATGTTGCACATCAGTGTTGAATGGGGAAGTGCAATCCCATACAAAACCAACAGTGAAAAAATCCCCAACTCAGGCAACCATAGCTACTCAGTCTTGTCAGGATTGAGCTGAAGTCTATTCCTCCCTATCCAGACCCACACAGCCTTCAGATGCTGGATCTACTAGTACATCAATAGCTTCATCTGTGCAGCTATAAATTTCAACCCCTTGTGCAGGTTGAAATATACAGCTAGGTATCATCAGTGTACTGATGATAGTGCACCACAAACTGACAGATTGCCTCACCTAGTAGTTTCATGTAGATGTAAAACAGGAGGGAGGACAGCAACTGCAACTGTCCTGAGATAAAAAGCTGATCTAACATGACACACACGAACACAGACACACATGCATTGGGCCCTTTATTATTTGGGACAGGTCCATGGTTGTCATGGAGGCCATGAGCTCCTGAGCTACCCCAGATTCAGTGTCACCAGATGGCAGGTTAATGTCCCCAAGAACCATCAGCCTTAGGGACTCCACCACCAACCTAGCCATGGCATCCAGCACCTCAAACAGGGATGATGCTGGCCAGCAGAGAGGAGTACACCAGCAACAATCCCAACTGTTCCTGAAAGCCCTACTTGAATCAGAGGGTCTCACATCCAGCTATCTGTGGAGCAGTTCCTCTAAAAGCCCTCAATGACTCATAGCCACCATCATCCCCCTTTTCCCCTGGGGTCTCAGCTGATGCAAAACCCGGAATCCAGGTGGGAATATTCCCAGGATGGGAAACCCCCGCTGTGGGCCCACTCAGGTCTCAGTTATGCACACCAAGTCAATGCCATTATCCATTATCAAATTGTGGACAAGGGCAGATTTTGTGCATACCAACCTGTTATTCAGAAGCAGCAACCAGAGCCTGGGGCTACCAGGGATCCATTGACCTGGTCCTTGGGATGAATACTGAAGTTAAGGTAAATAATAATAGGATGCTCATATCAATGGATACAAATAACTCACATCTCTCCTGGTCTTTTTCTAGTAATATGCAGTTCAGGATAAAACATTATTTTTGTGTTTGCATTTTCCTGATTCCTTCATACGGCAGACCACGAAGCAGAAAGGGAAGTGGAAAGGAAACATTAACCAGTCAATAACATTGAATTTGCAAGAAGATGAGCAAACAGGAAAGAAATGGGTTTTCAGTGTTAATATTTCCCTCCATACAATATAGTACGACAATCAAATTGTTAACAAATAAATCCCTTGTTGTTGTTTAGTCGTTAAGTCGTGTCCAACTCTTTGTGACCCCATGAACCATATCGTGCCAGGCCTTCCTGTCCT